TTTTTAACTTTAAGTGCGTGGGCCATAAACAAACAGACGAGACGCAGACGCGTGCTGCAAGCGGAGGGCGCATTGCACAAATCCAATATAATTATATATGTATGTATATACATATATATGTATATGTATATGTATGTATATCGTGAGGCTATGAGAGGCGCGTATAAAAATATACCACATATTCAATCATAAGTACATATGTATGTATATCTATATGTATGCCTGTCTGTATATTTTTATGTATGTATGTATGTATGTAGATATTCCCCCCAAAACAGAAAGAATATGTTTGTGTATGGGAACGTGTATGCTTTATAAATATAAATAAATCTTGCATACAAACATTCGTAAATTCACCAAATTGTATCAGTGTGTAGAGGGTACGTACATACATGTACATATGTATGTATGTACATAAGTATGTATTGCTCTGGTGTACATGTATCCATAGAATTGAATTGAAATTCAATTTTTTATTTATTTTTTCATTTTTCCTTCGCACTTCCCAAGGGTATAAGATATATACATACATACATATATATTTTTTAAATCAATTTTGTAATGCAATGAAATAGATGCCCAAAAATATATTTTTGGGATTCAGGCAGCACGCGATGCGTCCAGTAGGCAAACTAAAGTATACCTTGGAAATCTGCAATATTTACAATAAAACAAATTTGTATACATTCTCTGCAACTATCAGAAAGTAGCATCTGCTAGCCTATAAAATATATGGACAAGTAATTTGGCTCATAGACAGGACGCCAAGTCAGATAATTCAAGCCATTTCTGTCTGTGTCTGAATAAACGCTTAGCAAATTGGCAAATTACAAAAGTAGTTCAAGTATGTATATAATTATTATGTCGGTTTATCTTGCTTAGGAAGTTTGATCTTTAGCCACGATACAGGGGTTTTCATAATTTATCCCAAGTATTTTCCTGTTTATTCTCATATATAATAGTTATATTGTACAGGGGTATATATTTATTTGTATATTATATACATATGCATATATTTTTTATACATTATATACGTACATATGTATATTTATAAATAATTTCCAAGTCCGTTCTACCTGTTCTTCTCTAAAATTACTTGTATGCTATTAAAATGTACCATGTTAAAAATAATTTGATGAGTATAAAAGATAAATTTGCCAAAACCCCATCCCACAATTTCTTAAAATAGTACAGGTTAAAGTGTAGGGGCTGCACGACTAGAAAATACCGTGAGCACCGTTGTCATTTAATGGCTGTATGTTTCCAGAAACTATATAAATTTGCATTCTCTCAATTTTGTGTGGAAGGGGTGAATGAAATGACCTCGCGTCAATGTAAATTTCAGGCAGAATAAGTTTACACACAGAAAAAGATTTTGTAGTAATTAATGCGATCGTAATATTTCAGAGATTCCATTAAATGTTACACACAATTTGTTTAGCGCTAATTTGCAATAGACTTGTATTCCCTGAAGATAATCTGAATCATATATAAAATTGTGTCAACAAATTATTAGAAATAATTTTAATTTAATAAGATATATCTTAATACCCATAGGAAAATTCCACACATCTGGCACACCCTTCACAATAATACGGAAGATTACGACATTAATACTTTTTCTGCAGTTAAGTAATAGACTTTATTTACATATTATATATTTACTAAGTTTATATTGTGGGTATACATTTTATCTGTGTGGAATGACAATCTTATTTGGTATTTACTGCTACATTTTAAGAGATTTTTCTAACCTAATAAATAAATAAGTCAAAAGGTTTTTAGTGAAATCATCATCAGTATAACTAGATTATTTTGTTTATTGCGAAGTCCATTCATTGATTGAATACGTGCTTCCCATATATTGTTGTTGACGAATTGATTCATTGTTTGATTGATGATTTGCAACTGAGTTCCAGGGTTGTCTGGGAAAGGCATTTGAGTTAATGTATGATCCGGAACTGCCGGAACTATAACCAGGCGTTGCATGGAAATTGGAATGATAGGGAGAAAAATTAAAATGACTATAGGGTGCATAATTGTTTAGATGATAGTTGGCTGCTGTTGGTGTGCTCTTATTGTCATAGTAATTATAATATTGGGGAGGGAACGAATGCTGAACATTTTTACTTGAGAAATATGAGTTTTCTGGCAAATTAGTGTTGGAAGTCATTGTTTGTGGTTGTGATGCACTCGATGGAATATTTAGTGAACTATTATATGATTCCACAATCGGTAGCTGTCCTTCATGCTTGTACGGTTGGTGCGGCTGCTGTTGTTGCTGCACCGGTTGCTGCTGTTGTTGCTGCACCGGTTGCTGTTGTTGTTGATGCTGCTGCTGCTGCTGTTGTTGTTGTTGTTGCTGCTGCTGCTGTTGTTGCTGTTGTTGCTGTTGCTGCTGTTGCTGCTGCTGCTGTTGTTGTTGGTGTTGCTGCTGTTGTTGTTGCTTTTGATAGTTCAAATCTTCAGGCATTTGATGCAGACTCGATGGGATGCTGCTTAAACTTTCAACATGACTATTATTTTGCACTGCGTGAGTTTTAGCCTGCTGTCGATCCTCAATAATGCCAGTTCTGGCGAATGCTGGATCAGACGGCGGTTGAGTTGGTAAACCTTCCTTAGTACTGGTTTCATTTGTCTTAGGCACAGCTGATTTATCCGTCGATTTATCTGAAATATATAACATTTTTTAATTGTTTAATTAAAATAGTCTACTGAAGTATCTTACCCTGTTCTGGGGATTTGGGCTTCGGATTATCCGTATCGCAGTCCGATGTAATATCAATTACATCTTCTTTGCTATTTTTCTCCTCATCTGGTTTCTTGGCTGTTGTTCTAATTGCTATTATTTTACCGCTATCTAACTGCATATATATTCCTTTCGCCGATTTTAATACCATAACTCTTTGACCGGCTTTGAGTATTATATTCGATTTTTCTGATGAATTCGTAGGTATGACAACATCTGAAAAAATGTATATTAGTGAGGAATGCCTATATATATAATTAAATATCTGATTTGCGTACCAAGTGGTAACGTCATTTCTTGAGCTGTCATTCCTTGTCTTTGCCAAACTTCAGCAGGAATCCATCGCGTTGACCGCCCACCAGTAGTAGTAGTAGTTTTTTTGGTCTGCAGAGGCTTAATCTACAATAAAGATTTATAAAATTAATAAAACCATGTTTAACTTAGTTGTAGATTAAATTCTTACCGAAGCCACTGGTCGCGTTACAACAGTGCCATCAGAATTAATAACTTTATATTGCATTTTCCCAGTTGAATAAGTAAATTTCTGATTATTTACAGAGGCTTTCTTTTCCAGTTCGTAACTACGGTGTGCCTGTCGTTTCTCGGCTTGCGACAGCTTTCTATCCTTTTGATCAACTAGTAAACTTTCGTGCAGGAAAGGATCTTTTGTTATATAGTTTGAATGTAGCTCAACAATTTTATTAATGATTGGATCCATGTGGGTTGTTTTTGGAATAGATTGTTCCTCCTTTGTTTTCTCTGGCACATCGACCTTATCGATTCCATTATCCTCTGTAGATTCTGTAGCCTTCTGAGCTTCACTTTCGACGGGATTACTATCTTCATCGTCATCGTGACATAAATTAGTTATATCTTTCATAGACAAGTGCGCCTCTGGATTACATTCATCAACTATTCTGTCGGACATTCCTTGTTTCTTAATCTGTCTATCATATATTTTCTTTTCTAGACATTTATCCATAACGATTCTGTACACATAGCATGGCTTAGTCTGGCCGTACCTATATATAAATAAATAAACAATTAATATAGGATAGGAAATTCGGCATTGTACTTGTACTTACCTATAAATTCTATATACTGCTTGAGTATCATGGCAAGGATTCCAACTGGCATCAAATATTATAACTCTATTAGCTCCAGTTAAATTGATGCCCAAGGAACCCGCTCTTGTAGATATTAGGAAAAGTTTTATATTACAATTCGCATTAAATTCATTAACGAGTCTTTCCCTTTCTTGTGATGAAGTCGAACCATCCAAACCTTTTAACATTAAAATAACCACCATTTAATTATATTTCATTGTTTATGTTCCAGTATAATACTTACGAAAATATGAACTGTTTCGCATCCAAAAGCTGTTAGTGCCCGGTACGTAACTGGATTTTAGGAACCCTTCAATCAGATTCAATGTCAACAGACTTTGACTGAACAACAATATGCGATCGCCCTGATATATGCTCTCTTTCATTATGCAAAAAAATATTTCCATTTTGGGTGAACTCGATATTTGGCCAGATATGTAGTTTTTCATGATGTCCACAGCCCAAGAACATGAAAATTCATCATTTCTTTTAGTCTTCAGCGTCTTTTTAGCAGCATCGTTTACAACGTTGCCATAGAGCGGTTTACCTGAATTGTTCAATTCATTAGTTTTCAAGTCCTCAGCACTTTGCTGTTGATTAACTGCAGCTGTGGGTATATTTCGCTCGACTGTTTTGATTTCATTCGTATCGAGATCTACAATTTCGGAGGAGCCAGTTATAGTTTCATATTCTTTTGCCATGCTCGAATCCGTTTGCTTTATAACTTCCACATAACTCGGCTTCGAAGGTATTGTAGCATCCAGCCAATAATTGCCTTTCGCTTCGGCGCTATAAGTACCATAATTGAGTTGATCCTCTTTGTCCGCGCAATATTGGCCACAACTAAAAGTATAAATAAAAATTATAAATTATAAATATTAAATGTGAATGTATGCATTTCTTTACCTTTTATTAGCATAGTTCTTATTGATTTCCGTGCTTGGAGGCACATAGGTTCCATTT